GAGAAGACACCCCCTACTGAGGGAAGGAGACAGTCTGGGCCTGCCCCAGAGAAAATAGGCCTGTCCAGGGGCCGCAGGGGAGGAAAGGGCGGTGGGAGGAGGCTGTTCTCGGAAGCTGAGGCAGCCAGAGGGGAACAACAAGCTCAATTACAGAAAGACCTGCAGGAGGAGGGGCTGCTGGAGGAGGGAGTAGTTGGAATTTGAGACAGTAAATAAGCCAGAAATCAAGGAGTCAGAGAGGACAGGGAAAGAGAAAACCCCAAGGACAGCCAAAGGAGGAGCTAAATCCCTTTCAAAAACTTGCTCCAAGAATAGGATATGCAACTCCACAGAGAGAGCTAGTGAGAAACAAAACAAAACAAAAATGATTAAAAGGAACAGAGCGGAATATCTGAGGGTACCTTGTTTGACAAACTGAAAAACATATATGTGTGGGGGGATTTGTTTGAAGATGGGTCATTAATTCATTCCGGGGTGCCACGCATTTGTATATCTAATGTATAAATACCCTGAGAAGGTAAAATGCAGATTGGTGGCGCCCAGGAAGGGGCAAGGATATCCGAGTGGGAGCCACAGCACGGTCGCCTAAGGGTTCAGTAGTGTTTGATCCTAGAGAAGCTGCAAAGGAAGCTCAGGAGGAATCCATTACCTGGTAGACACTGGGGCCTCTTGGGAAAAACTGAAAACACTTTCTCTGCCTGAGATATAAGGCTTGAGCATGGGCTAGACCAGCTGATGTTTGTCTTTGAGAAGACAATATTTCTCCTGGTTGACACCCGTAGTAGACAGCACTGGGGTCTCCAGAAATTGTGGGGAGGGGCTGCCCTGTGTCTTAGGCCTTGGTAGGGGCTTTTCTTAACAATCACACAAAAACAACAATAAGCAGCATTGGCTGGGGGTTCTGTGTCATGAGGTATGTGTGCCTTGTATAGACAGCTGATCCTCATTATTTGTGAATTCCATATTTCCCTACTCACTAAAATTTATTTGTGACTCTGAAATCAATACTGGCTGAGCTTTTGTGGTCATTTTTGGACAAGTGCAGAGCAGAGAAAAATTGAGTCCCCTGACATGCATGTGTGCTCCCAGCTGAGGACAAACAGGGTGAGGTTCTTTCTTCTTGTGTCAGCTGTCATACTGTGAACAAGTGTCCTTTTGGCGGTCTATGTAGTTTTATGTTTTTTGCATTTTTTGTTCTTTTCGTTGGTGATTTCACTATTTGAAATAGCTTCCAAGCGTAGCGCCAAAGTGCTGTCCAGTATTCCTAAGCACAAGAAGGGAAAAATATGTATGTTAGATGAACTTTATTCAGACTATGAGTTTAATGTTAATGAACCAATAATATATATTAAATAATATGGTCTAACTAATAGACCATAACTGCTGTGCATCATTGGCACTGACTACATTATTTCACTTAATAGTCATAGTTCCAGACAGCAATGCTATAAAGGTCACATTTTATAAAACTTCAGGAGAGGAATTTTAGGTCTAGAAAGGTAAAATATTGTGCTCAAATCTGTATTGCTGGCAAGGAAGTAGAAAATAGCTCGTGATGGTACACTGGCATGAAGGTGGAGGTCAAGGGAAATGGTGGATTCCACACCATGGAGGGAGGGTTTTATTCATGGAAAAACATGAGCTGACCACAGAAGTCTCCTACAAATTGTTTTATGGATCTTTAAACTAGAACTGGAATTTCTGAAATCACAGGGAGAAAGAACCAGGAAAATACTATTTGTTATTGTTACTATAACCTTAGTTTACATTCCTGGATGGAAGGGCTAGGGAAACTTGGGTCCACATGAGATTGTGGCTATGTTTGGAGGAGAATAAAACACCATGCAAATACGATGTCGTACACGGAAAACACTGAGATGGGAGCAGGAAATTCTAGTTCTAGTCCTAATTCTGCCAGTAACTTTTTGTCAGGCTTTGAGAAAGTCCTCTTTACAGCCCTACACCTTTGCTGCTCCACCTGTAAAATGAAAGTGTTAGTAAATGATTCCATCTGCTCTAAGTTTTTATGATACAAAAACTGCATAGCCCCGTATGGCCTCTAGCTGGGTGACTATTAAGTCCTATTTTGCTTAGAATAGAATTGATTTACACCTTTTGTCTGAACATGATTATTAGTAACATCTTTCACTGTGGTTTTATGTGGTTGTCTTGTGCTTAATGAATATTTGTTCCTTGTGTTTTCTTGGCTGGGTTTTCTTTCCTGGTCCAACTAATTTAACTTTTGCCTCGTAGTCAATATGAAGTGCCTTACTGTTTAAGCCAGGGAACAAGTCTGTTTTGCTTTTTGACTCTCCAGAAGGAAATTATATCAGCTGGACTGGAAAAGAGGAAAACCTTTAATATAGAAAAAAAGTAGTTTGATATAACACTGTAGATTCAAGGACAAGTGTGCCACAATAAAGTCATTCCTAAACATATCAGATTCGATGTTTTTTTTCCATCAAACTACCTACAATCATAATATATCAATACTGACTGCATATAACAAAAATTAATCAGAAGGTATAGAACGAAAAGGCTAGATTAAGAAGTGAAAGGTTGAAACAAAAACTTCTGATGGTCTTTTGAGTTTTTAAATGTATTGTTTGTCTTTATGCTGCTTCATCCTCATGCTATCATGCTAGTCACATAAGTTATGAGAATCACTATGCCAAAAAAAGAAACAAAATCTTCACTATTGAACAAAACATATATTCTCTTTTACCCATTGAAATTCTATAGAAAGAAAGCGTAAAAAAGGAAGTATACCTTGCACTTATTCTTTTTAGTAAAGTTAAAATGTACTATATAATGTTAATTTACTATTAATTTGCTTAAGCAAACCTTTTCTTCTCAGGTAGTGTAATATAGACTTTCAGTGCAGGCCAGATTAAACAATCCTAAACTTTCTGAATGCAGTTTGGAAAATTACAGTATCAGTAAAACCTAATTCTCTAATCTGTGTTTCTTGTTCAAACTCGCCTTCCCTAACTTTCTGGGGAACTTTCAACTATTCAGTGCAAAAATATAACATGTTAATGATTAAACACATATTTCCAAGCTGGCATCTAATGGAAATACTGTTTCTGATTGCTGCTCACAGGTTAGAAATGAATTTCCAGTAGCCATTGCTTATTTTCCAGAAAGACCAGAAGTTCAGAAGGAAGTGTTGTGGAAGAACTTGTACTTTTTATAAACCCTGTAAACTTGTACTTTTTATAAACCCTGTAAACTCTAACTTTTGGTTTAGTTTACTAAACTAACCCTTTTGGACAATGTCAAGGTAGATTACTGGCTGAAAGATCCTATTCCTTGGAAGTTGCAAACCGGAAACTCAAATGGAAGACTGTGCCCTCGGTGCTCTGAAACAAAGATGTCAAAGTAGCCCCAGTTCCTCCCACAGTGCTTGCTCCATGCTCAGGAAATGACCTGAAGGGGGCCCACGGCCCAGCAGGGGCTCTGCTGGTCTACACCCTAAAGAGGAAGAAACCACCAGCAGCTTTTACCTGATTCAGTCCAGAGTTTAAAATATCATCCCCTGTCTTTGCCAAGAAAGGGCAATTTCATCTTACGAGCAAATAGCAAAAAACATTTTGCACTTATTCTTTTTAGTAAAGTTAAAATGTACTATATAATGTTAATTTACTATTAATTTGCTTAAGCAAACCTTTTCTTCTCAGGTAGTGTAATATAGACTTTCAGTGCAGGCCAGATTAAACAATCCTAAACTTTCTGAATGCAGTTTGGAAAATTACAGTATCAGTAAAACCTAATTCTCTAATCTGTGTTTCTTGTTCAAACTCGCCTTCCCTAACTTTCTGGGGAACTTTCAACTATTCAGTGCAAAAATATAACATGTTAATGATTAAACACATATTTCCAAGCTGGCATCTAATGGAAATACTGTTTCTGATTGCTGCTCACAGGTTAGAAATGAATTTCCAGTAGCCATTGCTTATTTTCCAGAAAGACCAGAAGTTCAGAAGGAAGTGTTGTGGAAGAACTTGTACTTTTTATAAACCCTGTAAACTTGTACTTTTTATAAACCCTGTAAACTCTAACTTTTGGTTTAGTTTACTAAACTAACCCTTTTGGACAATGTCAAGGTAGATTACTGGCTGAAAGATCCTATTCCTTGGAAGTTGCAAACCGGAAACTCAAATGGAAGACTGTGCCCTCGGTGCTCTGAAACAAAGATGTCAAAGTAGCCCCAGTTCCTCCCACAGTGCTTGCTCCATGCTCAGGAAATGACCTGAAGGGGGCCCACGGCCCAGCAGGGGCTCTGCTGGTCTACACCCTAAAGAGGAAGAAACCACCAGCAGCTTTTACCTGATTCAGTCCAGAGTTTAAAATATCATCCCCTGTCTTTGCCAAGAAAGGGCAATTTCATCTTACGAGCAAATAGCAAAAAACATTTGCATTAAACACACACACACACACATGCACACACACACACACACTCAAAACCTTCTTTGTTTTGGTTTCTTATTGTTTCCACAATTAATTTGAAATACTAAATGTTGTTAGGACATTTTTCTTTGTTTCTGAGACACATATTAAATGAAAATCATTTTATGGTGTTGGACATTGATGCTTAATCTGTTCCCTGTTAATAATACTTCTTATCTGATTGTAGAAAAAGGATAAAACAAGTGTTGTCTCTGCCAATTTCTGGTTTAAGATATTTGACTGTCGGCCTAAAGAAAGGAGAATGTGGTTGCTGTTTGCCAAGCCTGGAACAATGGAATTTGCTCTGTGTTTGCTGAACTCAATTGGTCTTACTGCTGACCTGCAACCCACTCTCCTTCCCAGCCACATTCTCATTATTTGAAAGTTTCACCAGCGTGTACCTCACTTTGAGGATTGATGATGTGCTTACTTTCATTTTATTTTACCCAGAATTTGTGGTAAAATAGGAGTTATGCAATAGCTGGCTTGTATCCTCAACTTTCGATAAAGATTGACCAGGCCAGACCCAGAGACACAGACCATATTTAAGACAAAGTCACAAAATCAAGGTAGGTGAAGATCCAGGCTCTGAAAGAAGACCAGAGGCTTGAGGGGATAATGTGAGTGATCAGTAACACACCATAGACTCTGCTCCAGGGTCAGGGGTATTTTTTTATCTTCCTGGATTTTCTCCTATAAGCAGGTATCTTTGGGCCCACCTCAGACAAGCAATCCTAGCAGGCATGGGGGCTGTAGGTGCTCCCAGCACCGACTGGAGTAGGAGCAAGGTGCTAGGGATCTTGGAAAGTTTTTGCTTTCATAACTTTTATTTTATCATGGTTAGAAAAAAACTAAACAATTTAAGTAATTCTATTTAATGAAAATTAGGAGGAAAAAAGGCAACTGTGGAGTGCTTCCTATCATGCATGGAGCATAATAGTCACAGAAACCTAAGAGAATGTTAAGAACTGGGGAAACCCTATGCAAGGAAAAAAATTAAAGCGAGTCCTCCAAAACATTTCTGATGAATCCAAGTATATTTGAAGTAAGAAAAATAGGAAGAGTGTCTTTTCTGAATCATAAAATTGACAGACTACGCAAAGAATTGATTCTATGCTTACTGTAAGGAGCTGTTCAGTGTTGGGGGGTAGAATTCGTGGACTAAGTTTAATGAGCTGACAAGACAATTTACCTGATTGGAAAGAAACTATCAAGGTGAGAGACCTAAGGGGAAAGAGACATGTGTTTTGACCAGGCTTCCTTGTTCTCCCCCATGGTCTGGCTTTGAAAGACAGATCACAGAATAAGAATAAAAAAAAGTTGAAGTGTCCCAAGAGATGGCAAAATAGCTCTCTATCAGAGAAGGCAGAGTGATTCCTGAAACTGAATAGTTGAAAAAGATGAAACTTCCAATAGCTTTCTAGGAGGAGGAAGAGGAGGGAAAAAAAAAATAGAGGGTATTTCTCTCCAGCTACTGAAGGTTCCATAAACAGGATAAGGATCTGGGACTTGGCTGTGATTAGCAGGTGCATGGATGAATCAAAGGTGCCCCAGGAGGGAAAAAGAAAGAAGGTTGGTTTTCTTGTAATAAGTAATGACTGATAATCATTGAAGTGTGATAAAGAGATGAAATTATATTTAAGTGTATTCCTTCAAATTTTATTCTGCATTGTAGTAGAATAATTTAGTATAGAAATAATTTAGTGTAGAAATAATTTAGTATAATAATGAAATTTCACTTGATGTCATAATTTTTTTTAATTTTGGGAAGTATAATTAGCTGTTTTCCTGCTTCTGCCACTTTTTCTTAATTAAGGAAAGCCTGTCTGCAGACCCTCTGTTCCCAAAGGAGATATGAGTGTTTACATGGTGGCATGCACTACAATTTCAGATTTAGTGCACAAATAATCAGACCCCATAAGACTGGCCTTAAACATCTATACCTATTAAGTGACAGTAAATGTTAAACCTCAGGAATAACAAACACTCATTCTGATCATTATAAGGGAAAGATGACAAGCTTTGGAGCCAGAGGGATCTGGGCTCAAATCTTAGCTACTGAGTCACCAGCTGTGTCACCTGTAACCTCTGCAAACTTAGTTCCCCATGTGTACTGGCTAAAATTCCTGTATGCTGTACTGTTGTAGGAAATTAGATATAATATGTCCAAGTGCTAACACAGTGGCACACAGAGCTTTAGGGCCTCAGCAAGAGCTCATTGTGGTTATTCCGGGATACTATAAGACCATTCATATTTTTAGAACTATGGATACTAGTTATGTGGAGTATTTTAAGCCTAGTGATTTTTAAAAGCCCTTTGATCATCTAAATATAAAGTCATAACACAGCATTTTTAAAAATGGTTTTTGGAAATTTTAAGAGCTACAACATTTTTATTTAATGTAGAAATATTTTTGGTCTCACCTAGGGTGACCAGCTGCCTCAGTTTGCCCTAAACTGAAGGTATCCCTGGGATGTGAGAATTTCAGTACTCTTAGCTCTATCTTATAGGCACAAAACTGGCATTCTCAAAGTATGTTCCTCAGACCAGAGGTTTTACCTGGAAACCATTAGAAAAGCAAATCCTTGGGTTCCCACCCAGACCTACTGAGTCCGAATGTCTGGGGATGGGACCCAGCAATCTGTGTTTCAATAAGTTCTCCAGGTGATTTTGATACATGCAGCATGCTCAAGTTTGAGAAACACTGGCCTATAATATGTCACTTATGTTGGACTGAGACACTTCACGGAGGAGAATAGAAAGAAGCAATATAATAGCCCCATTTCAATTCCTTTAAGACTCATGAGTCAATATTTTCATAGCTGGTAATCCCCAATTTCTCTACCATTCCATCACTGAGCTCTGATAGTGAGGAATGAGGAATGAAAACGAAGACAAGCTACTATAACCAGCACAACAGTTAAGCTCAGGAAGGAGGTTGCAACCTGTCAGAGTTTTGAGGGCAGGTTAGTAAGGTGACTGGAGTTATACAAATGAAAATGCAGGTTATAGTCTAATAGCTCCTGACCTTTGCCAGATGTCATCCAGGACCAGGACTAGGGCGGGAAGTACGTGGATGGCGTTACCTAATATCTCTGGAAGCCTCTCAGGAGGCTTCCACTCAAGAACAAGCCAAACTAATACCATTTTAGTCACTTCAACAACCACACAAGTCAGTTTCTCTAGATGGCTCAGGTTACTTTTGCAAAGCAAATCAGAGAAATTTTCATATTATTGCTCACTGTGTATAGCTGTCTAGGAATATTTGAATGTCTAGGCCAGGACTGTGGAACAAAACTTTTACATCATAATACCAGAATCTTTGCAACTAGACCCTCAGTAGCTAATGGAGTTTTCTCAGTGAAGGGCTCAGGGGGTGGGGAGAGGTGAAAGAAATGGCCAAATAATATCATAATGATGAATGTAAATTTCATTCAAATGGAAGGTCATTAAACTCTAGCTGTTACCACAACTCCAGTGGGAGTTTTGAGAATGTTAACAAATGACCAAGGACATACAGGACTTGATTATTTTGAATCGATTGCCTTGGTTTTTGTATAAAAATATGATGAGTACACATCATCATTAAATTTGTCACAGACCTAAATTTTTCCTCTAATATGAGGCTCAACCATACCCTTCTTTGCTGAGAAGCACAATATCTCTTTGACCATGAATGAAATCAGTTATGGTTCCTCAGGAGTGTACCTTTCTCTTTCATCCCACTGTGAAGTATTAAAGGTCAAGTCCTTTTCTTGCTAAACCCAAGAAACACAGATGCCAAAGTTGCTGCTAGACTGTCCTAGCTCTTGTCTCAGTGGAAAGCATATCTTTTGTGTATGCTATTAAATGTTGGATAAATTTAACTTAAGAAATATGTCACCATCTCTACATCTGTTTATGACTTGTCCTTTCTGTTTGATTCTGGAGGGCTAGCCATATTCCAGGCAGGTGACATCCAACAATATTACTGCTCCAGCAGGACAGATCAATTAAAAATCTCAGAGGAAACATTAAATAGATGGTGGGTAACCTTCACACAGACTCATTATTTTCCATTAATTAACAAAGAAAAATAGATGTTGGATGTTCATCACCAAAGAATAAACTAAATCATACTACAGACAGTACATATTGGAGATACACACAGCTTGTTACTCTCTTCAAAAACATGAAAATGGCATCTTTACTTTGTTTCAAATCCCAACCTTGATGTCAGTCGAAAAGTTATGGTGGATATAATCCTACACCATCATGGGAAGGAGAGGGAGGAAGGGGTTTTTGACCTTTAAGACTAAAATTTGAGTACAGAGGGTGGAACGGGATTTCATGCTCACTCCCTGTTTCTACTCAGTTCTATTTTTCCTGACCTTTCAACCAATGGAGAGAGGAAAGGGCCACACTTTTGTGACTTGGCCTAAAGAATAGGGTAGATTTTTGGAAACAAAGAGGGACTTCAGAAAGGGCTGAGGATGGGCTGAGAGTTTAGAAGAAACCAGCTGTTTTGTTCCCTTCCAAATGAGAAGACTCTTTTCTATCATTGGCTCAGGGTACACAATTCTCGAGAATTCAGGAAACAAAGTTGTTTTCTTTTATTTCTGGGACCAAGGCAGGTATAAGTCTGAAGGTTAAGAAAAGGCAGAGAATTCAAAACTGAGCGAGTCCATGCTGCAGAGGAGGTGCTTTGTTTCGCCAGAGTAACCCCAGCTGTCCAGAGGAACTACCCGGGGTGGCTGTTGAAGGGACTAAAATGGTATTAGTTTGGGTGGTTCTTGAGTGTTTGGAAGCCTTCTGGGGGGCTTTCGGAGATATTAGGTGGCCCCACCCACGTACTTCCTGCTCTAGACCTGGTCCTGGAAGCTGACTGTGTGACATCTTGCACAGGTAGGGGGCTGTTTGACTACCCTTTTCAATGCCGGAGGCCCACGGTGATCTATATCCACGTAAGGGGCCAGAACGCCCCGCATGACGTTCAGCAGGAACTACCGTTGTTTCCCATTATTGTCATCATTACCGAGTTCCAGTTTTGTGCCGGAAATCCAGCAGAGCCTCCCTCGATCTGTTTTAATGAGTCCTCGCCTCCTTGAAGCTCTCCATTCAACACTTTTGTCCACCCCGGATGCACAGCCTTTGTAAACTCTGCATTCAGGGGGCCCTGTAAGCAGTATCTTCCAGCTTGGCTTAAGCACAGAGCCAATGAGACCTTCCAGGATCTGCTCGCTGGGGCTGCCTGCTCATTGACCCCAGTGGCACGTACATCAGTCTGTTACTTTTCCTTACAAAGGGAAAGAGAATCATGCTGCGCTTCACTGACAAATGTTGTGCCCTCATCTGTCAGCTGTTTGCTTGTTTGCTTTTGCTCTCTTTCCACATGAGGAGACATTTAATCTTGGACCCACCAGGCGAACAACATTGTCTGGCCTCTGAAGGCTGAGATTTTAGCTCTCCTATCAGAACAAATGTGAAAGAATTAAATAATGGAGTTCAGAAGATGTTGGATTGCTCCAAATCTAAAAATATTTTATTCCTTTCTCACCTTCTTTAAGTAACATGGTACACTGAATTGAAGCCAAAATAATAACTTTTAAGTCTAAAAGTTTTAACTTATTTTATGTGTTT